GGGAGAGTTAAACTGGAAAACACAGAGATCTCTCACCTTTCACGCATGCCTGCCTCCACCTGTGCACTCATGCAACAATTTATTGAGCACTGACCACCTCATGCCTCATTGTAATTAGTGTAGCCCCCTTGGCCACCTTGGAAATATTTTACTTGTGGTACAATCTCCACTTGAAAGCTGCTCTCTACTCCCTCTGTCACTTTGACTCAAAGATCCATTTCTAAACTGTCAACTGAAGTCCAGACGGTGGCATAGTGGCCAGTGGATACAAAAGGGGGCATTCGTGACAATGCACTAAATGTGCCCTTCTCCAGAAACCCAGGAGAAGCAAGCTGGGGTGAACAGGCTGGAATATGGAGGGAGCACTGGCAGTGAGGATCGGATGCTGGCCTTGCTGACCCCCGGCAGACCTGTCCTGTGAGTACTGGTGGGCTCAGGAGGTACGATCTTCCTCCTGTTTCTTCCATTCCCTCCCCACCATGAAAGAGGTGGCAGTCAAACAGGGCGCTGACCTGGGGTTGTCACCCAAATGGCTGCAAATATTTCCTTCCCTCCGTGCATGTCTGAAACTTCATCAGAAGTCCTCTCTTCTGGAGCAAAATAGCATTTCCTAGTACTCCCCACGGCCACATACAGAAGAAGAGCTTTCCACATAAGTCTTATCAGGCAAGAAACTCCTTATTCAACTACCCTTGCACACTTTCTCAGCTTCTAACTCAGGGATTGCAACTGTGGCTCCGTCGATTGGGTGTGGGCCTGAGTCTTCTGTTTCTATTTGTTTGTTTGCTTTAAGCTCCTTGGGTTTATCCAGAACTGCAAAGCGCTGCCACATATGAACTTATTTTAAGTTCCCATGCCACAGTGAAAGGAGGGAGTTAAGCTGCAAATGAGCGACTATAAGTGCAAAGAGAGGAGACGATGGAATCTCATCCTTGGATACCCTAATCCCTTTGCCATTCCAACATGGAAGCATCTCGTGTCAGTAGTCTTTCCTTTTAGTAAAGGGAAAATGAGGTTGTTAGGATATCCCCACTTCAGAATATGTGTCTTACGTCACTAGCTCTTAATACCTAAAGACTCCCTTAGTAAAATATGACAACAGGCTAGATATGATTAAACAATAAGAACTCTCAGTAGCTTGTCAGGTTCCTGTTCTGTATGGAAGCTAGATGAAATAGCTGGCAGTTATCTCGCAGAGCCTAAACAATGAGGAAGATGATGGCATCTGTCATTCACATCCTTTGTACACATTACAAAACGCCCTAAATCCTTGCCAAAAGGACTTGAAACTATTCGTTTTGGAAACAGTAGGAAGACAAGGCTTTCCTATTCAGCTATGATCATATTTCTTTGTGATGGCTCTTTTAAAGCTTGGGAGCATTTTAAGTGTTAAATGAATGGCTTCATTTGTAACAATGTAAATGTTCTGTAACAATTAGCTCAGGATACTAAAGCCATACCCAGCTTCCTCTGTTTGTGGGGTACAAGGCACACCAGACTGGTTCATCGGTATTTTCATCCTCTTGGAACTCTAGAAACTCACTTTGATGGTGAATGGAGTGTTTTCAACATAGTGTCCATACAGCAGGTGGCCACACATTGACTTCTCTAAGGAAATAATTACTTGCAGGTGGCGAGTTGGAGGAACCCAGCTGTATATGTAAATGTACCCCAGAAAGTCCTTGTAATGTATTTTCTAAAGATAAAGTTATGCTTGCGATGAACAATGACCTAGTGAAACAGAAATAGAGCAGATAGGCGATGAGGAAAGCTGACACTTCGGTACCCGTCAGAGGTGTTTCTTGGCTTCTCAAAATTAATAACATATATTTCAAACAAAAGTCTTAAAGCAGACACTCATCATTTAATTATTTACAAAAAATTATTGTCTTTTACTGTGTCCAATGCTTAGTATACAAAGATGAATAACACGTGGACCCTGTATACACTTGTGCACAGTCTACAGAAGGAAATAAACATGAAAGTCACTGATTAAAACACAGTGTGATGAGGTTACTATAGCCTGTGAAATTTGTTATTGTGAAAGTATCACTTACATGTAATATGCTGCATCACACAAACCTCTTTATCCAAGACCTGGAAAGATATATCTCATAAGACTCAGTAACAGGAATACTAAGTTCTTCTGAACAATGGCTTGGGTTTAGTTTAAATACTTTGAAGAATATAACTGGCTTTTCTATCCCGTTGAATTAGCTAGCAGCTTGAGAGCTCAAAGCTAGTTTGCAAGATAACTCTAGTAAATAAGTAGGACCCAATATTATCAATTTTGTCTATTGACCTTCCACCTAGATTCAACTAGCTCCATCCATCCTGAGGTTGTTTACTTTTTGTTGTTGTTTTTTTAAAGTGCCTCAAATCCTCTTAATGAGGAGACAGGGTATAAGAAAATAAACAAACTGTGATAAGAGAAGTCTGTTCAGGATTTTATGAGAGCTAAGGGGAGGAGCGTAATGCAGGCTGGGAATGTTGCTAGGAGAGGTTAGGGAAGGAGCTATGGAATGGATGGGAAAAGCATTGTGATGATAATAACAATAATAGTAGCAGCACTTATTAATAATAGTAATAAAGAATAACTAGACCTCGAGGAATTAAGAATAACTATACCTTACAATTGTGGGGTCCTCCCTATGTGTCTGTGCTTTGCAAACACTATTTCTCTTATCTCCACAGCAACCTCAAGAAGTAGACATTAACACCCCATTTTACAGATATTGATGTTTAGACAGTTTAGGAATTTACCCAAGATGCCCCCTCAAACCCAGGCTGTCTTGCTTCAACACGGCACGGTTGATACGTGACTCTCACGTGGAAAAAGAGGTTTTGTAGGGCATTGCCTGCGAGAGGATCTTCAAGTGTGTCCAACCAAAGGATGCAGGTGGTGACGCAGCCTCAGGTGAAGCGCTAGAGATGAGCAAGGGCAGAGTCAGGACTGACATCTCTTTAGGTAAGAGGGAGATGTAGTAAGGAAGTTACGTGAAAATGGAGAAAAGGGAAGAGAAGCTCCCGATTCTGACTCTTCTGAAACAGAGTGACACTGTCAGAGTTTATGGGGTGAAGACGCTTTGAAAGATCACATACCGTAGTTCACTACATGCCACCGATCATGGTGACCCCTTGATGCACAAGAGCGTTATTGTGTCACTTACTTTCAAGAGAAAATAATTTCACGTAAGACATTTACTTTGAACCCCACACTGGTGAGTTTCCTTACCAAACAACATTGTTATAAGTATCCCCTTCCTAAAAAACACTATAGCCCACGCCAAAGGCAATATTCCAGAAGGGTCCTTGTGCTTTTAAGGCCTCTCCCATAAAGTCTTTCCTATGGAGTCAAAATGATGACAGCGATGGTGATGATAAGATGATGGTGTTGGCGGCCATGATGATAACAGCTGCTGCTAGTTATTGAGCATGTCTAGGCTCAGAATCCTGTGCCGACATTCATTATTTCATTTAATCCTCACAACCATCCTAGGAGAAAGGCAATATTATGCCCACATTACAGATGAAGACGCTAAGGTTCAGGTTTAACAATTTGCCCAAAGTCACACAGTTCATCAAGTGGTAGAGCTGGAGTTTGAATCCAGGACTAATGGACTCCAGAGCCTGTGTGGCAGGTAGTTACCCTGCCCGCCTCCCATGCGGAAATAATTAGGTATCACAGTCATCTTAGAATGTTCTGGGCAACACTTTTCCATCTCACCAGGAATTATCTGATTTATAATAATAGGAAATTGTTGTTGAGATTTTACTTATGTTACCTTTTTCTTTCTGATCTGTACTTTTGGAAGACATAATGAGACAATTATTGTGGGGAGTGTTTGTGTGTGTGCGTGTGCTCATGTGCGTGCACATTAATTATGTGTGCACGTGTCAGTATGAAATCATACATTGAAAAGAGAAGGTATGTAGATCAGAGGTGCATTTTAGAGATAGACATGGCCAAATCCCAGCCTTTTTACTTGCTAGGTATGTGATTTAGAGTGTCATTCGACCTCCCGTGTATCAGTCTCACTCATTGCCTTTAAAATGGGGATAATTAGGATTCGAGACTGTCGCCGTGAGGCTTAACTGAGGACATTTATATCTGGTGTCTGGCAGAGTTAAGTACTCAGTAATTCATCCTTCCTCTTCCAACCCTTCTCTCCCCTTCACGTCTTCATACCAGAATCCTATTTCTGTTCGTACAAAGAACCAAAATCAGTGTATGTGCCAGCCTTCTCGTGGGGCATTTATATCCTAGAGAAAGAGCCACTGAGCAGGGTTGGTGGTGCCTACCCTGTCCTCGGACAAGGATACTGTAAGGAATTCACGTACTGTAAGCCCTCGATTTACCTGATCCACAGGTGCCTCAAGCCACTCTGTGTCTGATATCTACGTGTTTATGTCGCACTCAAATAATGTGCATACTGTACTTTCAATTGATCTCAATACGAGCCATCCTACATAGGTTTTCCGTAACTTCCATAAATATTCTGGGGAGTCTTTCCTCCTTTGATCCAGGTCTGTCTGACTCTAAAAGATGTGAACTCTGGTTGCTATAAGAGTAATCAGTGAATTTACCTTACTCTTATCTTGATGGATACAAGAACTCTGCAAAGCTTGAATGATGCTGTTTTCTTCAACACCATTCCGTATAGATTTCATCTGTTGCTAATTTATTTCAATGTATCAAACTCATCTCAAACTAACACAGTAGACCAGAAAGCAAGTGTACATTCTAGTTCTTTTGGCTGAATCATGCATAATTTAAATACGATAACATATGATAGAGCCACTGAGAACTCTGCTCTCATCACAGAAATGTGAATTGTGCACAGGTCAGCCCCAGTAGAGGCCTGACCTCAGGCCCGGTGAGGCGCTTGACTGTCATCATGTAAGATGTTCCTTAATGGCTGCTCTCTGTCGAACTATTCATATACTCTCTTAAACAACTTTGCCACACTGTTATCCTAATTTGAAATTTTGTTTTTCAGCCACATAAATAGAAGAACACAGTTTGAAAACCCTGTCCTGGAAGCAAAAAGAAAGCTACAGCAGCATAACATGCCCCACACAGAACTTGGAGGCAAGCCCCTGCAGGCCCCAGGTTTCCGAGGTGGGTACCATGTCAATATGCAGTTTCAAAGGGATCAGTTGTCAATCAGACTGCTGGCTCTTCCAGACATGCCTTTAGCTTGGGCCATTTCAAATAATTGATTTGCTTTCCCTAGCCCCTTCCATGAGCTTTAGCAGGGTGTTTGCTGTTTCTAAACTAATGCATTTAGCAACCACGGATTAAGTTAAAGCCCGGGTCAGGAGGTTATGGGAATTTGCAGCACGTTGCCAGGTGGAGATTAATGGGTTTGGACAGTGGTACTGTGAACTGCAGAGATTCATAGAGACGCATGAGTTTGTCCTCAAAAGACCAAGTGCAAGAATGAGGCTTGTTCTTCTTTGTGCCAGTAGACAGCTCCTCATCAACATTACCTAGGCCCAAATCCGCCTGCCGCCGCGCTGCCCCAGGGAGGTCGCACAGCGTGAATGACTTGTCTTGTCATCAGCGTGACCAGGCCGGGAGGCCCTGGCCCAGCGGTACGCCGGGCTGCCGGCTGCACCTGACCACGCCTGGGAGCCACGTAGTGGGATAAGTTGCTGCACAGACTTTTCACGTCTCTGTGTGCTCTCACTCACCTACAAAAGCACAAACAAGGCTTTTGTCATCGGGAGGCCTCGATTTGCCTGCTGATGATTTTCACCCCACACGTCTCCAGCACAGTCACCATGAATGTAAAGGTCGTTACTTTCATAAAGGAAACGTGGGTGACAAGGTCATATGTGGATTTCATTTATATTTTAAAGAAACATTCTCTATTTTTAATAAAGATGTAATGTGTAATGTAATATGTAAATAGAGTAAAATTCTAATAGAATGACTCACTATTTTATAGTTTGCTGATTACATATCACCCAAAATGTAGCAACCACAAAAGTGTCATACAAAATGCTTAACATCATGTACAGTCTGGTTGTTACAAATATCAAATCAGATCACTCAAAAGGTAGCAATTAAAAATATGTATAAAGTTCTCAACTGAGTTAGCATTTAAGGCAAATATTATTTATTTAAAGCAGATATATGACTATTATTTTTAAAGTTTTTAATACGCTTAGGAATATATTTATTATAGATCATAGCTGGAAAAGCATATTATATAACACCTTAGTGGTCAAACCTATATGAGTGGGTTCAAGTTCTGTTTAGATGGTTTGGGTATATTATTTGAATGTGTCAACATATTGTTACAAAATGTGTTACCTTTACATTCACAATTATATCTAGAAATACTGGCTTGCCTTTTGCTCACATTTTAGAGGATACTAAACACTATCGGGTCAGTAGAAATTGCTTTATCTGGTTATCTTTATATCATCTCACAATATAAGCAAAAGTTAACTCAGTCCCACATCCAGGTACTCTTTCTAACAAATTTAGACATTTGAATAAGTGGTAACATTCCACAGCTCCTATTCTTTTTAAAACAATATAGTCCATTTTGGTTTTCTAGTCTTATCCCCTCAAGGCTTTGTGCAGGACCCATCACTCATGCACACATCCTGCCTGGACCCTTGTAGAACAGGAGATGTATCCAGATGCATCTGGAGGATTTGGGGCTTCTATTTATCTGAGGGCTGCACCACCCTGTTGATTCAGCCCTGTTTAAGCACAAGAAGTGCTGCTTTCGTGAATGGAAACCTTCACTTGACAAAAAGTCTCTCTCCAAACCGAGCAGCTTTGTCACTTTCCCTGGATGCTTGGGACTGCTCCGCGTTTGTAGGAAGTACTGAGAGTTTTGCTCCTGTAGTCACCGCCTGCTTGCATTGACCGTAGGAGACCCCCACCTTTACCCCAGGATTGCTGCTCGGTGGCTGGCTTCCCGCTGTGTGAGAACCTACCTTAAACGTGCTTTTTCTTTTTTAACTTCTATTGGCCGATGTAGAAAAACCACTCTTCACCCGGGATGCATCCCAGTTGAAGGGAACTTTCCTCAGCACCACCCTAAAAAAGAGCAACATGGGTTTTGGATTTACCATCATTGGTGGCGACGAGCCTGATGAGTTCCTGCAGGTTAAGAGCGTCATTCCAGACGGGCCCGCCGCACAGGACGGAAAGATGGAGACAGGTAAGTGCCACGAGGCTTCGGAAAATGGTTTTGCAACAACCTTATTTTCTGAGGCAAAGATGAGGAGCTTCTTTCTGTGTTTTTAATTTGAAGGTCAAAGATCACTTCACTTTACGAAAACCACGAATTACGTTTCCCCTAAGTTTAAGAGTATTAAACTGAAATATTTTAGAAACAGCTTTAAATATCATTTTTGTCTCATTTTTCAGGCTGCCCCTTCTGTTTGCTGGATTCAATGGACTCTTGAGATTGGCACTTTTCTAATTTACTTCTAGAGTTCCTTCTTAGGGATGTGATTAACATTTCATACTTTTCTAGCTTGTATTCAGCCACTGATATTTTAAAATCTGTATTAATCTTGTAATATTCTCATGCTGAATTGCCCAGGTTAGATATTTAAATATGCACGCTCATCTCATAGAAAAAAATCTTTAAATGCTATTCATCTTTATATTTAATACAATGTTTTAATATATAAAGTTTTTTCTCTAGTCCTTATGAATTAATTTTCATATGCAGTTACTTGGACATCTATCAAATTATAATCCAAATTCATTTAACATGGTAATGCAGAAGCAAATTGTCAGGGCAAGAAAATATAAAATATGAAAGATACACAGAGGTAGAGGAAAAAGTAATGAACTAAGTTTGATTTTGCAGTCTGATTTTAAATTCTCCTACCTGGCCCATGCCCTTGAATTAGTCCTATAATTTGTACATACTAGTTTCCTTATCTGAAAAAAAAGCAATCAAGTTTAGTATTTACAATACTGACTCAAGAATTGTGTAGGGCTGTTTTTGAAATGCCTGAGGAAGGGTATTATAAAGTACAGCAACTCTTTTCTCCAAAGAACTATGTCATCACTTCACATTCTTCATAACACTGATTTCATTTATATCGGCTGGCTAAAGTAGGTGGATCCCAATAGATACAAAAATTAGAGAATTACTTGTGAGGAAAAGTCATGCTATTTGTGTTGTCTGTAGATTTACGAATTGTTATTCCATGGATTTTAAAGTGGTTTATGTATGAAGAAGCAACAAAATTGAAGTCTTTGTCTGACATTTTTAATTTAAAAAATCACCAGTGCTATATTGCCAGGAACTAAAGTTTCCTGTAGAAATAACCTCTTTTCAAGGTCTCCTAATGAGCATGTTTGTCACTGCCACTCACTAGTCAGTAATAGTACATTTAGTAGATATCTCCTTAAAAGTGTTTTCCAAACACTAATGTAAAAATTACGTGTACATAATTCTCTGCAAGAGTAAGTTAGAGAATGTCCAACTCTCCTGTTCTCTGGTGATATTTTACTAAGCATCCACAGCTTCGTGTTGCCAAAAAAATCACACAAAAACATCAAATCACTCAACTAAAAATCATTCTATTGCCTATCACTAGAATAAGAGGAAATTATGTAATTAATACCATCCATAGCAAAGAGAAAAGCGTCCCCAAAGCTTTTGAATTTCAGTGAAATATTTAGCAAACCTATTTCTTTTCGTAATAAAGAATCCAGTTATCTTTTCTCTGATCCAACCCACTATTCCATATTTCAAAACTATAAAGGACTTCTTTTAGTATAAACGTAAAAGACAAAATAACATAAAAAGATTGGCACAGCAAAGCTTTTCCCCTTCTTACTCATTTTCCTAGTTTGCCACGCCCGCACAGTCTAAGCCAGCCTTATTCAACAACAAAATTTCTTCTTTAGAATTTAGCAGATTTTCTTCTTTTAAGATAACCACAAAACAAGACCTAATATAGGAAGAAGAACCTAGGATTTAATTCTATTCACCATCTCCTGTTTATTCCTCTATTTATTAATACCACAAACACTTGTCAAGCTCCTGCCTTTCACGGTCATTGCAGAATACCAGGGCTACAAAGAGGGACATGACAGGGGCCCAGCTCTCAAGCAGTTGACATCTAGGAGGGGCCTCAGCTACATAAACAAGTGATCGTAATGCAGTACTCTGAATAGGATGAGTCTATAATAACTGTGATGTTGGCACAACGTCAGGAGAGTGGGGGGAGCAAGCAACAGAAATTAAAAAAAGAAAAGAGTGTGTTCCTCACTATATCATTTTATTAGACTTTTATAGGGATGATAATTTCTCTCATCAGAAAAGAATTTAAGAAATCATTGAAATCTACTGCTTATTAAATATTCAAAAATATTTAAATGTTTATTTTTCAATGTGAGATAATTTAAAATAAAATGTACACATATTTCTGTGGCATTCCACAGGTTGTACGAGAGGGAATGGCTCCCCAGTTCAGTTCTGCTAATATTTAACGAATATCCAGATATGCTAGCCATTCTGCTAATTGTTAGGGATGCAAAAATGAAGAGACACATATTTCCATCCTTAAGAAGCTTCCAGTATAGAAATAATGAGTGACATGATAATGAATATTTGTATCAATGCAATAATAAAAATCTGTGCAAAGTCCAGAAATAGTCCAGAAGAAAGGGGGATCAATTCTATTGGGAAGTGCTTAGGAAGGCCTCATAGAGGAGATGATGCTTGACAGAGTTTTGAATGATGAGTGAGTGTGTGCTAGGTGGACAGTGAGGAAAGCTATAGGTAGAGGGAACAGCATATGCAAAGGCAAAGTAGAGGGGAATTCCTAGAAAAAGATTTATATACTGTCACACTGTGTGTTAATATTCACCTTCAGTGGGCATTCATGTGAAGTATCAAATAAAACGATAATCGTAACTGGTAAGGATGAACTATTTAGACTTGTAGCAAACATCGAAGAACAGTAAATAGTGATATATCCTCAAATAAAAAACAGATATCATAAATGCACACATACCTATGTATAAAACCTTTCTTATAAGTTTTCAAATAATTAGGCATAGAGGTTTACTCTGTGACTGATGTTTTCTTTACTTGTGTATCCCTAGAGCCTAAACAATGCCAGGCAAACAGCCAGTGCTTGATAAGTACTTGTTGGATGCATGGATGGATGGAAGAGTAGTTGTATGGGTAGATGGGTAGATGGATGGATGGATGGATGGATGGGTGGGTGGGTGGATGGATGGATGGGTGGATGGATGGATGGATGGATGGGTGGATGGATGCATACATGGGTGGATACTCTTAGAAATTAAGAAGTGAAATTTGAATTGGCTGAAGTCCACTTTTACAGTGTAGCTTAGTCCATGCTAATTGGACCAATAGCTTACCATTGAAGCAAAAACAAATCAGCTTTCCAGTTTCTGGATGAAATTTAAAAAGACAAATACCTGTTAGCGACAAAATTAATTTCCTTTTTTATTGTGGTTTCATTTATAAAAGAACCTCAAGAATTAGTGAAAATAACAGATATAAACAATAAATTGTTGGTATTTAAAAGGTGAGCAGTCTCATTTGACATTGAAATTAGCATGAAAATATTTTAATCAACTTTTCTAGCTCTAGGCTATCCCTAATTTAGGCAAAGAGGTGTCAATAATTTGTGTGGACACAAAGAAAAGTCTACTCTACTAAAAAGTTGACCTAGGGCCCTGCACAATAAAAACAAGGGCGGGCAGGAATTTGCTCTTTCTCAAGTATTCCACACCTCCCAGCAATTGTTTGCGGGCACCAGAGATCTTGATAACACTCTTTAAACTGTTTTGCGGGCACCAGAGATCTTGATAACACTCTTTAAACTGTTTTAAAAATCAAGATTAATGTAACATGGCTTACATAGAACCACAGAGTCTGAAAGGGAGTTAATCTAACATCCTTCAGTTAAAAAGCTTCCCTCGTTACATGATGGTTCATGTTTTTCCCCAGGCTAAATTTTGAATTGAGGCTTGTGCTTTTCAACAAATCTAAGAGGGAGAAAAGCTGACCTATCCATGAAGTTCTCCTATAGACGGGGGTTGAATGATGAGGTCACGCACAACCTATTAGTTTCTATTTGCCTTCTTCTGATGTGTCCGTTTTATTAGTAAAATGGCAAGAAACTAGCTGGGAGACCGCCATCCTAACATTCTATAGCCCCTGGCATTTTTCTCCACTGGAGCAGAAGGATGTTACTGCTCTCTCACTGGTTGCTACCTCTTTGTGTTTCTAAAAGTAGGGGCGCAAGATTAACTTTGTCAGAATCACTGAGGGAGCTTTTTAAAGATGCAGAATTCTGCACATCTAGACCTACTGACTCCAAATTTCTGAAAGTGGTTTTCAGGAATGTGTTTTATACACTTTTAAAAATTGTCAAATCAATACATGCACATCGGAAAAAAAAATCAAAATCTTTATAATGCATAAAATAACCCCTCCCCTCCCCCACTCCAGCCCATATCCCAGAGACACTCGATCAGTTTGTATTCTTTGAGGTGTTCCTTTTGGTAGCTACCTTCACACGTCTAATTAATGTGTCTGTGCTGTTGTCTTGATTTAACGGTTTTAGACATGACCTACATTTACTTCCTGTTAGAAAGAAAGGGAGCTTTAGCTCTCTTCTGCACCGTCTGCCCTCCCACATTCTCCCAATAGAGTTTTATAACTAATTTTAGTAGTATTGGTACAGTTTTTGCATTATCACGGCTTTGTAAATTTGTTCACTGACCCCAGTGGTATACCATTAGTACATTTTCCCCGTAAACGTTTTTGTGAAATTTCACTTTGTCTTTCTCTCTTTCTTGCAGTGTCTTTCTTGAAATAATTCTCTTTTTTTTTTCCTCCAAAATCACCACCATATGAGTCCTCAAAGGGTCTCCTTTTTTCTAGGCATGTTTTGTCTTTCTACTCCTCCTCCTCCTCCACCAACCTCTGGGCTGGTGGCACAGCTGACCCTTGGGGATTTTCCATTATGTCTCTTCCAAACAGAGTCCACCATTATCCAGATCCAGATCTGCTTTTCTGGTGGATGCTCATTTTACCAGAGCATAGTTCCCTAGTGTCTTGTGGTCCTCGATTTCTCTTGTTTAAAAATGAAACACTGAAACGTTATGCGTTCGTGGTAGCATTTGAAGACTGGTCAAATTTTACCTGGGGTT